TGTTTGCACTTGCTGGAGAGACAGAGAGACAGAAAGTGAGAAATTGCCCCCAGGGGGCATGACCATGCCACAATCCCTTCTCTTCTATTCTCCTCTTGAGATTTTGAGCACTCATTCACGCACACGTACCTGGTATGAGTTTTAAGCTGCCAGGTCCTGGACTTGAACTGTGGTCAACTACGTGGGAATCCAGCAATGTAACCAGTAGACCATCTGCTGGTCCCAGGATACTTTCTTATATTCGATGATGTCATCATTTTAGTGATATAAGCATTACCCCAAACACTTGAATGACAGCTTTAAGTGCTGTTTTAGTTATGATTAGACTCAGTTGAAAGTGACAGAAATCCAAAATGATAGTAACTTAAATAACATAAAAATGTATCACTCACCAGCAAATCTAGAAGTGAGTGGTCCTACACTGGAATTGTCATAATAGTTCAGAAAGATTTCTCCATCTCCATCTATAATGTGAAAATTCCTACCAGTAGGAAAAGACAAAGATATATATATATATATTACACACATACACACACACACACACACACACATATATATATATAAAGGCAAAATCAAGTGACAACAACATCTCAAGGAAATTTTTCAGAAGGCCAAGTGATACTTTAATTAGAAACTAGAAATGATTAGAAACTAGAGAAATAAATGAAAAAACCTTTAAAAGTTAAGGCATGGAGGAAAATGTTGAAGATGAGAAATACACTTATCCCATCGGCAATCATAAAATTAGCTTTCATCACCAGTATCAAATAGTTTAGAAGAAATTTCTTGGTATTCATGTCCACTGACCTTAGATTGTAAATGTCAGAGCAGAATTATACTCTTTGTTGCTTTATTTGAGTCTCAGTTCATTCTGTTATTTCAATTTAAGTTGGGGGAAAGTACAACTAGAGATACAGGGGGTGATGCACATATCGTGTAGATAGAGAATCAGTAGTATAAATGTACAGAATTTTTTTCTCAGGGTCTTGAGAAAATTTATTAGTTTGTCTGCAACTTCTTATTACAGTACTCTCAGAGATTTTAATTTCTTTAAATGCAAGGTTATAAAAACGTCTCCAGTGTTTATCATTGCCTTTAAGTTCCATATTTGTCCACAGTATCTCTAATTTATGCATGGAAATACTGAAGCAAGGACAATGTTCAAGTTTAACCTCAAACTTGGCTAATATTAATTTGGAAATTTAGATTTTGACTGAAAAGTTTTTCAACATTACAATGAAAAGAATCAAAAATGCCCATATAAAATAGTGTAAATCCTTCTTAAAAATAAATTACTAAGGGGCCAGCAGATGGCATATTGGTTAAGAGGCTGGACTCCCATATGGCCAATTGTACTTCAAGACCCAGACTCAGTTGCTTGAAAAATCACACTGGGCACATATATGTACATTCCCAAAATCCCAGGAGGAGAATGGAGAAGAGATTTCAGTATGGCCTTCCTTCCTGGGGTGGGTGGTGATTTCTTACTTTCCCTTTTACTATCTCTGTCTTTGTCTCTCCTGCAAGTACACATACCCTAAGGCAAAAGTCATAAAATAAATAAATGAACTTCTATCTTATTTATTCTACTGTTGCCTTATCATTTCTCTCCTCTTAGCTTACCTCTTGATTCCTTTGCCTTAGTAAACTATTCTTTGGCAAAATAAAAATTTAAAAAGTATGTTTCATTCAGGGAACTAAACTCTATTCCAGTTTCTAGAAGCTGTTCCTCTGTGATGATTACCTTCATTCATAGGCTATAAAAAGCACTCTTACTCTACAGGGGAGACAGTAATTATAGAATAATGAGACATACAATTTTCTGTGTTCATCATATCAGATTATCTGATAGCGTGAGGTAGATACAATTGCAGGGTAGTAACTGCTTCAAATACTACGAGCTCATTTTTAGGAAAAGCAATATTAAATAAATGGTAAAAAATTTGAAATTTCAGTAGATAAGCTTCATGAATTGGTCTGGCTTTGTGGACTGGTAAGTATGTTTTCAATAAAAATGTCATTTTATTTAACTTGTTTCTCTATTGACTTATCTCATGGAAAAAGATTGGTCATAATTTTTTTTATTTTTAGAGAATAAATCATAAAAGCAACAAAGACATGCTGGTATAATTTAACTTAATGTGCCTACAGGGGATAAATATATTTTTAAGAGATGAAATCTACGTGATGCATTTGTATCTCATTATTATTATCAGATATTTATTGAGTATCTCTCATATGAAAGGCAGTCTAGTAGGTTTTCAAATGTGGAGTCAAATTCTAAATAGTTCAACCCTGTTGAAATGTATTTGAAGTAATAGTTGTACCTTTATTGCTCCAACAGAGCAGAAGGGAAATATCCTAGCTATGTTATTAAATTGGAATTGTAGAGTAACAAATTAAAACAACAACTAACACTCCGCCTATTTTTTTCCTGAAAACTTGAGGCAACTTAGTATTTTATATGCTTAAAATGCACACCGATGCCAATAGTGATAAAATTGGAAGGTGTGACTAATATATAAAATATAGGTACTTCATTCTTGTTTGAAAGACATTTTCTGAATGTGAATCTGTATTTCTGAAACTATCTGCTCAGATCAACACATTTCTTCCATTCCAACCATAAGGTTCTAAAATACAGTCTATCTAATGTCATCACAACTCCACACGACCCAGCTTTCTGTGATATGTCTCTTCATATTACTTTGCAGGTACTCTCTGGGGATCTGGTTGTTAGCACGTTTCTTCTATCATTTAAATAGAAGTATTTTCAGTAATGAAATGCAGCAGTTAATAACTTTCTATCAGGTGGTAATAGTACTCTAAGCCAAAATTAAACTCTCCCATCCATTAAAATTCACATTTATAAATTATTTTGCATTAATACCTATGAATACCTTTCCTTTCCTTTCCTTTCCTCTTTCCTTTCCTCTTTCTTTTCCTCTTTCCTTTCCTCTTTCCTTTCCTCTTTCCTTTCCTTCTTTCCTTTCCTTTCTCTTTTTCTTTCTTCTTTCTTTCTTTCTTCTTTTTTCTTTTCTTTTTTTTTTTTGTAGAGGTTTTTGCAGTAGGGTGTGTGTGAGCTCATCAGAAAGACAGAGAGAAACAGAGAGACAGAAAGAATTCACCCCCTGGGGGGATGGCCATACCAAGATCCATTCTCCTCCATTCTTTTCATGGGATCTTGGGTATGCGCGTGCACACACATCCGGCGTTAGTTTAAACCACCAGGTCCGGGACTTGAACCGTGTTCACCTACGTGGGAGTGCAGCAACATAGCATTATGCCAACTGCTGGTCCCTGCATGAATACCTTTTCAAACAGACAGGTAAATATTAAATTTTGCTTGCTTTATTCCTTGAAGCTATCATGTACTTGTCACAAGTAATTTGTGTATATGTGAAAGGTATCAAATCAGTAGCCTGACTTGTTCAATGTACAGTAATAAAAAATTTAAATAGTTAAACAATTTTATCTCTTACAGACCTTTTACTTTTGTTGCAAAGTATTCATATATTTCTGATAAAATAGACAATGATAGAAATGAAGCACAGTGTTAAGAATTCTAAAACCTGGGTCGGGTGCCATGATTATCTCTTAATTAGCTGAGAGGTCTTAGCATGCCTCTTTTTCTTTTTCTTTTTCTTTTTCTTTTTATTTTTAGAATTATTTAATTTTGGGGACCAGCAGATGGCATAATGGCTATGTCACTGGACACCCATGTAGTCGACCGTGGTTCAAGTCCTATACCTGGCAGCTTAAAACTCAGGCCGGGTGTGTGTGCACCCAAAATTCCAAGAGGAAAATGGAGGAGAAAGGATTGCAGTGTGGCCATCCCCCCAGGAACTGATTTCTCACTTTCTATCTATCTCTGTCTCTCTGGCAAGTGTACATGCCCTATAGAAAAAATCTCTCTCTCTCTAAAAAGAAAGAATTATTTAATTTTATTTATTATTTTTAATGTCTTTTAACACTTAGTAGTTTTCTCATTTGTTCAAAAAAGGGCCAATAATAATATTTTCCTGGATTATATCACAGAAAGGTATTGAGAAGATAGAAGAGAACAATGAGTGTTGAAACACTTTGAATACTTTGAAGGACTCTCGAAAATTTTAAGTGCAAGTGTGTGTGTGTGTGTGTGTGTGTGTGTGTGCACGTGTGTGCACACATGCCTAAGCGTGTGTACATAAGTGACAAAAAAGTAATAAACAGATCCTTATTTGTTTCAAGACCTGATTACTTTTGAAAAGTAAAATTCATAGCTAAAAAGACAAATTGAAGGAAAAAAATAAAAGATGACTGTGTTGTACATTGTCTTTGAGACATGAACAGAGAGTTTCCATAACATTTACTTTGCCTTCCTGGGAAAACAGGAGACAGAATGGACTCTGTCAGGACTTTTAACATGGCTTTTAAGATATCAAGTGTAATATGTTAGGTATTAAAAACTCTGGAAGTGCTTTGTAAATCTTTAAGGATTTTATAAATGAAGCCAGTTCATTCCAGTTTCATTTCCCAATATCTGGTGTAAATTGATGTGCTCCTTGGAGCTGCAAGTGTGCTAATTCATAGTTGCCATAAATGCATCATTTCAGAATTAATTTCACCTCCGTCGCACATGCTCTCTAAGAGAAGGAACAGAAAAATAAACATTCTTCATGATTACATACTTAAATAACACCTTGTAGTCTTTCATGAGCAAAATTCTGCCTCAAGATGACAGAAACTTTGGATGAAATTATTGCTCTGTATGGTAACCTAGGGAAAAAAAAAAAACTCTGTTCATTATTCTTATGATTTTGTGTTATGTCACTGAATTGTCATCTTTAAACTTTCAGTGAAATAGAAATCCTACATAACTATCCTTAATTCAGAAACTTGAATGTATAATGGAATCTAAAAATAATTGTAGACATCATTTAAAGGACACGATGTTTTCTTAACGGCTACTGATATACATTTAAGAAAATCTAATGCATCTACTTCTTCTTTTTCTTTAGACTTCTTTGCCTGCAACAAGTGATCTTCCAGAGTTTTTTATTGCTTCTTATAAGTGGCCTGGATGGACTCATGGTCCATTGGATCAAAGAAACTGTGCTGCATCCTGGGCATTTTCCACCGCAAGTAATAAAGTCATTTTAATTACTTCCCTATAAACTTTCTCTTTGACTCTAAGCCTGAGAGAGTAATTAAAAGGTTTTTAAAATTAGAATATTTAATATTAACATCTGGTCAATTAAAATAAAATCTTATTATGACTGGAAAAGCAACATTGAAAATTATAGTTTAAAAATCCATGCTAGTTTTATTTTTAGAGTCTAATCTTTAGATAGAGAGTGAAGCAAAAAGCAAAAAGCAAGTAAAATTGGCAAAATTTGTCCTGTGAGAGTTCAGGTGAGATAAAATAATAAGGGCCTCTTCATTAGCAATATTAATTATAATTCATATATATATATGGAAACACCTGCATAACTTTTAAATTCTTTTCTCCTTATAAGATGTGCAAACATATTTATTAAACTAATTTAATATAAAGTAAGACTTTAAATTATGAATTATGGAATCAGCAGTTAGCGTAATGGCTATGTCACTACACTCCCACGTAGTCGACCGCAGTTCGAGTCCCAGACCCGGTGGCTTAAACTCACGCTGGGCGCGTGTGCGTGCGTGCCCAAGATCCTGAGAGGAGACTGGAGGAGCGACTGAGGCGTGGCCATCCCCCCTGGGGAGTGATTTCTTGCTATCTGTCTCTGTCTTTTTCTGTCTTTCTGGCGAGTGAGTGTGCCCTATAGCAAAAACCTCTCCCCCCCCAAAAAAAAAGAATATTAATGAATTAAATGAATTCTATCTCATTTTAAATAAATGCAAGTGTTTAGGTTCTGATTCTAAGGTAATATCATTGACCTTTAGTAAGATTAGCTTCTAAATTAATCCTACTGTGACTCCAAAGGTGTACTTTCATCTAAGTTCTTAAGTACAATAAATGAATTACTCAGGTGAACATCAAGATTTTGAAGTTTTACAGCTACTCATCTAAGTTTGTAAATCCAATGAATTAATTACTCAGATTAACTCTAAGATTTAGTCCCAAAGTTATTCTCAATGTAATTTCAGTTATTCTGAATAAATAAATAAAATCTAGCAATTAAATAATAATGTACTGAATGATGATTGGTTGCTATGAAAGATCTTAGGTCAAAAACTTTTAGAGCATAGAAGGCATTGTGAAACAAGGCTCTTAGAAAAGAGTGGCAATCTGGGACCAGTAGTTACCATAATGGCTATGTCGCTGGACTCCCATGTAGTCGACCGTGGTTCACGTCCCAGATCCTGTGGCTTAAAAACTCAACGCTGGGCACGTGTACGTGTGTGCGTTCTCCTGAGAGGAGAATGGAGGAGAAGGGATTGCAGCGTGGCCACCCCCCCGGGGGATGATTTCTCGCTTTCTGTCTCTCTGTCTCTGTCTGTCTGGCAAGCGCATGCACCCTATAGCAAAAACCTCTCCAAAAAAGAAAAGAGTGGCAATCCCTGGGGCAGAAAAAGTGTTGGCATCTTTGTCTAAATATCATTGCATCCGTTTCAGCCAGACCATTCCAGAAATGCCTTTGGTATTAGCTGGCCAAGTTTACCTCTGGAGTGTCTCCATCTTTTTATCCTACTCAACTGTTCCTATCAGGCCCTTCCTTCCTGGCAGTATGAATGCTCTATGTCTATTTGATATTTGTCCTCTTTGTGTTAGGAATTCATATGAGGGCTTTTCTGAAACCTGTTACAAATGAGCCAGCAGAAATCTATTCAGATAAATCACTGGTTATTTTATGTTCATGTGGTTAACATATTATGGTTCTTAGGTAATATATAAGAATTTTCCTTAAGGGAAGTGAGATCACTATTCCTGAAGATATCTAAGGAGAAGCATTAGTGATAAAACATTGAACACAACTTGCTAGGCTGGTTAGGAGGGGATGATGACATGCTGTTTCCAGTTTACGGCCTCACAGAGAGCCTTAGCACAGGCAAAGGTTGGACTGGCCCCTACCTCACCTATCAAAGCACCAGAGAGAAGGTTTTCAATTGCTTGGTGGTTTCAGAAGGTACTGGTTATTTTGATTGTTTGTTTTCTGTTTTTTTTTGGAGAGGTTTTTGCTATAGGGCATGGGTGCTCACCAGAAAGAGAGAGACAGAAAGCGAGAAATCACCTCCCAGGGTGATGGCCATGCCACAATCCTTTCTCCTCCATTCTCCTCTCAGGATCTTGGGCACGCACACACATGCTCCTGGCGTGAGTTTAAGCCACCAGGTCTACGATTCTAACCTCATTCAACTACATGGGAGTCCAGTGACAAAATCATTACGCCAACTACTGGTCCCAGAAGGCACCATTTTATATCCCGTGTATTCTATATGGTAAATCAGGCTGATTGCTGTGTGTGGTAAATAGGAAAATAATTAATTTATTAAAGATCTGAAAACTTAATAAGTAATAGTTAAAAAATAAAAATTATTTCAGAGAGCCTAAGAGCTATAAAATGGAATAAAGAAAATGCTTAAAACCATGCACAGACCTGGAAATATTAGTTAAGTAACCAAAAAATTTTAAGTTATTTGTTAGACAGTGTAGAGGTAAAGGCATTTTGGAGATATGAGAACACTACATGCCAGAGAGTAAATTTAGAGGCAGAATAAAACAAGTAGGGAAAATAATAGCATGTTTCAAATCAGATTTTGACATTAATCTGGTTTAGTTTAAGTATGATCTCTCAAGTATATTAAATTAGATATAAAGGGCTTAGCTGGTAGAACAGTGGTAAAGCATGACACTCTGCAAGGTTGACCCATATGTGAATGTTTTCGGTTCATGTCTGGAGACCACCTTGAGTATCTGACCCTTTTTGTGCCCATGACTTGGGGCTGGCAGAGGCTGGGAGTGAATTGTGTTTTCAAGACTGTGTTGGGGTGCTGTTTATCTGTCTCTTTCTCAAAAAGAAAGAAACCCTGAAACTACCCCAAAACTATAGATTCATTTATTTGAATATGTCAGATTGCCATGGGTTTATTTCTAAGCAATATTTTTATGATCACTTTTCCTTATTTCCCCAATTTTGTTACATTTATTTGATATACAAATAGCTAGATATAGACAGTAGATGTAATGTTGATATACAGATATATCAGTATCTGTCTATTTATATCTTTCTACATGTATGTGGATAGATATTTACCCATGGCCACACATAAGACCCTTTTCTAGGTATGAGAGAAAGAAGCAGTATATGGATGGCTTTTGCCCTCAGAGTTTCACTTGGCAGATTTCTTAATGAAGAATTCAGAAGTATATAGAATAATAAAGGACAAGGAATTAGAAAACCCTTTGATATTAGTAAGACAAGGGAGCCATGCCAAAATAGGACAAAAATTGTGGCTGAAATGATGGTGTATTTGAACTGGCTGGAGTACGTAAATATGTTACTGACATGTGGCTTAATTTTTAATTATATACTGATTTAAGGACTATGGTTTGAACAAAAGGGTTATGTAAATTATTATCTATGCTATATGTCATTTGAATATTAATCAATATTCTGTTTGAAACAGGTGTGGCAGCTGACCGAATTGCGATTCAGTCCAATGGCCTATACACAGCCAATCTCTCTCCTCAGAATTTGATCTCGTGCTGTGCCAAGAACCGTCATGGCTGCAACAGTGGAAGCATTGATAGGGCTTGGTGGTACCTGAGAAAACGTGGGTAAATAGCTGCCCAGCATGTGTTTCTAGGATTTTTATGAGGTCTGCCTGCGGTTAGAACAAGTGAATAAAGTTGTTTCAATTTAAAAAGAAAACCTTTTGAAAAATTGATGCCTATATATATATATATATATATATATGCTTTATTTAAACATAAGAGGAGTTTTCAAAAGTTCATGGAAAAACGCATGTTTTGCAAAAACTATGCATGAGTTTCAACATTTTTTTGCACCAAGATAAACTTGTAGGACATTTTTTTTCTTTAAATTTATTTATTTATATTCATTCACTGTACATCATTACAGCACACAAAATGAGATTTTCCATCCAGAGTACACTGTATATTGGCTCAATCAAGCACATCAACATACATGTTATTGTCAACAAATAAGCAAAACATACAGGAAACAAGAAATGGTAAACCTGTAGCTTAATTCTATTTCATTTTTTGCCAAAGGATGCATGTGCTCACTGGAGAGAGAGAGAAACAGAGACACAGAGAGAGAGAAAAGAGAGAGAAAGCGAGAAAGCGCTTTTCCTGGGGAATGGTCAGATCCATATTCCCTTCTCTTCCAACATTTCCCTTCTTTTAGGATTTTACGCAAGCATTCACATGTGTCTGTCATGTTTCTCAAGTTGTTGGGTCTGGGACTTGAACGATGTGATCAACCATGGGGCATCTTGCTATTTTAATCACCACACCATGGTCTGACCCAGTTTAATTCTGTTTCTCCATGAACTTTTCAAAGTCTTCTTATATACCATATTTGGTATCTACTGAGATTGGAAACTACTGGAAATAATTATTGAAGAATGTATACATTTTTAGCTAAATTAATATAACTTTTACTTTTGAAGACCGAAATAAATGTTTTTTTTTTTCTTTTTTCTTTTTTTTTTGTTGTTACTCTGAGCCAAATGATTCTCTTAAGTCCAGAGGGAATAAAGTGATCAATACTGCTAATACCTCTGCTGCCCCAACCCAAATTGATGAATAGATATTTGTAAATAAAATTAGATTAACACTCCTAAGAATAAAATAAAGAATTAACTTATAGTTGCCTCAACTGGCCATTGTCATTAATTGTCCCTATCCATTTTGATGAAAAATGGCAGGATGCATTTTATTTGCTCTCCTGTATTCTCATATGTAGAATCCTAGTGTCTGCTTTGAGAGTTAATGTCCTCAAGGCGACTGAGTTATTCGGCTAAGGAAACTGAAGGTGATAACCAGCAGTATGTGTATGTGCTACTCGCCCAGTCTGTCATCATTCACTTAGTGCTCTGGTGCTGCTATAGAACACCTAGATACTACGAAAGAGAATGGGTGTTAGACATTGATGGATGGCAATACATTTCCTTAAAATTTTTACGTTTTGCCTAGTACAATGGTGCTTAGAATTTGTAACTTTGGGTGATGACTACCTGGTGTAGTACTACTTCGTTGACTTGTGTTTTATACTATGATAAAAAATAAAAGCTCCTTAGTGCTGAAAAATATAAATTATCATTGAGTTACAAATAAATCTCATTGTATTAGTCTTCTTGGACTAATAACACAACGTCATAGATTGGGCATCTTACACCACAGACATTAATGTTTTGTCTGTGAAGTCACAGATCCGGATGCTGGATGATTTGGTTCCTGGTGTGGGCTCTCTTCCTGGCTTGCAGATGGTCACCTTCTTCCCCCTGTCCTCACATGGTGGAGAAAGAGCTCTGGTGTTTCTTCCTCTTTCTAAGGGCACTAATCCCATCAAAGGAGGCCCCACCCACCTGTCCTCATTTAAACCTTCTATCTCTCAAAGGGCCACCTCTTAATGCTATCACAAGGGGCTTCACCTATGAATTTTGGACTGACATAATTCGGTTCATGGCATTCATCATTTAGTGCAAATGTAATGTTTGCGATATGAGATTTTTAAAAAGTATGTGGATGTTTTTCATGACTTTCATTTCATCTTGCTTCTTACTCACGTTCCCATGCTCTGTTCAATACTGTTACATTTTCTTAAACCAATCCTAGTGAATACTTTTATGGCCATTTCAGCATTAGCTATTTATAAAACCAATTCCACGATTTTATTTCTCTTATTACCTACTTCCATATTCAATAGAATTATGTCAGATTCGAAGCCAAATAATTTGTACTTTGCTGTATTCAGTTTCAAAATTGGAAATCAGAATTAATTTGTTTAATTTTTGCATTATGTATACATCTAATAATTTCCTACTTTATTAACTTCTAATATTATCTTAGTCCTATACTATTTTCCCCGATGTATCATGGTGGAAAATACTACATACATAGTAATTGCAGTCTTATTTACCTTATAATGTAATAAAAATATAAAAACAATAAAACAGATATCTGACCTTAATTCTAAAACTTACATTATTTATCAGACTACTCCACCTAGGACTAAGCAAATTCATGGCCTTTTTTATATTAAATTTTGCTATTCTACATTATAATTGTACATACAGGTTGAAGAGATTTTTTTTCCTATTAATATTAACAAAGACTTTACTGACAGCCAGTTTTCATTTCATTTCAGTTCTATACTAAAGATAGAATTATTTATTAAAAATAAATTTGTAAAATTATAACGAAATAAGAGGGAGTAGGGAGGAATGTAATGTCATTGAGATGCTGTGCTAGAGACCGTTGACATTTTGAAAGTTATGTATATAAGTGACTAGGATGTTTTATGAATATTTAATTAAGTAAAATTGGATTTAGGCAGAGAATTTTCCTAAGTATTACCTTTGCTTCTGTGCTTCTTCATAGACTGGTATCCCATGCATGCTATCCACTTTTCAAGGATCAATATGCCACCAATAATGGCTGTGCCATGGCAAGTAGATCTGATGGACGGGGAAAACGACATGCCACAAAGCCATGTCCCAACAGTGTAGAGAAATCCAACAAGATCTATCAGTGTTCTCCACCATATAGAGTCTCTTCCAATGTAAGTGTAAGTGGCAGGAGTTAACAGTGGTTAACGTTCTCAAACATGTATAACTCTGTCATTAAAACTATATAAATGTTATTTAATAAAATGATTATGTAGCTAGGGCCAGCAGGTAGCATGGAGGTTAACTTGCTGAATTCCACTTGGCCAACTGCTTAGTTTGAGCCCCTGACTGGGTGGCTGAAAATAGTGCTGGGCATGTATGCATGTATATCCAAAATCCCAGGAGAATGGAGAAGGAATTGTGGTGTGGCCATCTCCCCTGGGGAGTGATTTCTTATCTTCTCTCTCTCTCTCTCTCTCTCTCTCCCTGTGGCAAGCACCTGAGCCTTATAGCAAAAAAAAAATAAAATAAAATAAGACAAAAATAAAACAAAACCTATTATGTAGCTTTCCCTCTGTATCCACTGATTCCACATCCATGGATACAACTAACTGAGGATGAAAAACGTTCAGGAAAATTAATGACCATATTTTTGTCCTTATTCTCTGAACTGTTCAGTATGACAGTATATTGTATTAGGTATTATAAGTAATCAATAGATCATTTAAAGTATATAGGAGAATATGTGCAGGTTTTCTGCAAATATTATGTAGGACTTGAGCATCCATGTATTTTTGTAGAGGGTCCTAGAGCCAATCTCCTGCATACAGAGTAATGACATTATTCAAAACCAAATAATTGTTTTTAAGCACAATTTTTTTATTATCATCATAATCTTCTTTATATTACATTGGATTACATATAACTTTACAGTGTATTACATTGTTTTTTCAAAAGGGAATGCCATGCATGTCAGTCAGTACAGAGACATTAATCTCCCCACTTCAACATTCAATATCTTTTCTATGTTTTCCCCAATCATTAAAGCACAATTTTTGATATTCTTAAAATTTCTATTGAAGAATTAGTTTGTGGACCAGCAGAAGGCATAATGGTTATGTTGCTGGACTACCACATGGTTGACCATGGTTAGAGCTCTGGACCTGGAGGCTTGAAACTCACATTGGGCACATGTGCATGTATGCCCAAAATCCCAAGAGGAGGATGGAAGAGAAGGGATTGTGGTGTGACTATACCCCCTGGAGGGTTTATTTCTCACTTTCTCTCTTTCTGTCTCTCCAGAATGTATACATGCCCTATAGCAAAAGTCTCTCTAAAAAAAAAAAAAAAAAGAATTGTACTTTGGGTATGACATCTTATTGTTGCAATATTAGCAGTGTGAAGGATTTACTTAAACCCAAAAATGCTCATGGAAATATCTTTTAAATTATATTTTACAATATGTATATGTATGTGTGTATACATGTGTATGTATATTGTGTACATGTATATAATGTATGTGTGTATATTTATATGCATATATACATATAATATATATATGTATATATACATATACATATAATTTTGACCGTTAAAAGCTAAGTCAAAATTTTTTTCATAGACATTTTTTGTGGTAGTAGTTTATTTGTTAATCCTTTGCTTTACTGAACAATATAATTGAAGTGAACATAGCTGTAACGGGAAAAAGACCCCTTTGGATTAGTTTTTTTCTGTTAAAAGTCCAGAAAAAATTTTACTTCATCGTATTACTATTACTAGCTAGGCCTTTTCATTTTCAGAAAATCTAAAACTTCAGTGGCTCCCTATTATCTCTAGAATATAATCTAGTATTCTTACCAGAGCACCCAGGCTTTGTGGGGTTTTTTTTTTGGAGAGGCTTTCACTATAGGGTGCGTGCACTCACCAAACAGACAGAGAGAGACAGAAAGCGAGAAATCACCCCCCAGGGGGAATGGCCACGCCACAATCCCTTCTCCTCCATTCTCCTCTTGGGATCTTGGGCATGCACGCACACGCGCCCGGCGTGAGTTTAAGCCACCGGGTCCGGGACGTGAACTGGGGTCGACTACGTGGGAGTCCAGCAACATAGCCATTACGCTAACTGCTGGTCCCCTTATTTTTTTATTTTTTATTTTTTTGGAGAGGTAGCACCCAGACTTTGTGTAAGTTAGTTCTCCTCTACTACTTATACAGACTAGATCCTGTCATCATCTGCTCCCTCTCCTGGTTCACAGTGCTCCTGGATTGATGAGACTAGTCTCTGTCCCCATATATACCATGCTTGTTGGTGATCCTCCGCTCAGCAAGATGATGATTTCCCTGACCTAACTGGCTACTCCCCTTTTCTAAGTGGTGAAATGCCACATAAATGTCAAGGCTCAGATCAAACCTTATCTTCTCAAATTGTCCTTGATTAATAACAGGATCAATTTTCCTTTTTTTTTTAAATTTTGTTTTGATCAACAACAAAGATGTGACATTTCATGCTTTTCTCTGTAATAGAACTTATGTAATAATAAAGTTAGTTGTGTTAGTGTCACTCTGCTCCACTAAAATGTAAAATACCTTGAGGAGAGGCAAAGGGTCAATATCTGTTTCTATTGTATTTTCTGATAGGTACTTTGTGCTAACTATGCAGAGAAAAGTGAGAATGCTTCTCTACTGAGGGCTGCATTACACCTTGATGGAAAAATGAAAATATTCTTGCTAAAGCTAGCAAGGAACCTCACTAAACAATCATTTGGGATAGCTCTTGTGATTTAAAAAAAAAAAAATGGAAGTAACATTGATCTCCACTGATTAAATATGGTCTTAACTTACCTTGATTGTTTTTGTCACCATAAAAAGTCATTATATTTCTTCTCCATCCCCACATTATTTAGTGATAGCTGTTGATAAGACAGATGGCTGTATTATGTCTTTAGCATTTTGTCTTTTTACGGTGTGTCATTGCACATGTGAGTACTTCAAAGCATGAGTAAGAGTAAATTGCAAGTGGTCAAAGCACTGTGGGTCACATAATAGCCAGATTAGTTTAATAACACCAAGCATTATACACCAAACAATAGGTTTAATATGCTCTGACAGCAATGATGCTCATGATATCTTTTTTTTTTTCCCTAGGAAACTGAGATAATGAAGGAAATCATGCAAAATGGACCAGTTCAAGGTAAGCTTGGATGAATTTTTAAAATTTTCTTTAATAAACATTATACTGAGGTTGTGTAAAAGGAATTTAATTGAAAAAACTTTCAAGAATACTCATAGGGCTCAACAGTTTTAAAATTGGTGCAATACTGGGAGATATGCCCATCTAATAACTTCATTAGATGCCATTTTATTTTATGAGGATGGAGTCATTTATGAATTGAACTCTTAAATAATATATGACGAAAGTCTACTAAGTCTTTACAAAGTGATCATGGATGAACAGTCGAATATGAAATGCTCAGTGACTAATTTGCAATTTTACTTGATTCATTCGATCATATTTAAAAATAAGACCTAGCATTTGATGTTCTTCTTAATTCAAGTTTAAATGGATTAAATAATAGAAAAAAATAAGAATTAATAGTAGAAACAAAGTAGATACTTTCTCCATTAGTGCAAAATAAATAAGCCAGTATGATTTTTGTATTTTACAGAAGGCTATTGATTTTGATCAATTTTGTGTGTTACTGAAAATAAACTGGCAGTGAATAATAAAATAATATGGTGATTTACTATACATTGACTGTCATTTTTCTTTTAATTTGCTATAGGATGTTTGTGCTCACTGGAGAAAGACAGAGAGAAATGAGAGAGAGAAAGACACGGAAAGTGAGAAATAACCTTCCAGGGAGGATTACCATGCCTCAGTCCCTTGTCCTCTGCTCTTGTCTCAGGATTTTGGGCAGGCATGTACATGTGGCCAGTGTGTTTTTCTAGCTGCTGGGACTGAAACTTGAACTCTGTAGTTGGTCATCTATGATCCAGCCACTTTTACCATCATATCATCAGCTAGGCAGTGATTTCTAAGATATTTTCTCTGATAATAGTTCCTTCTGCTTACCTGTTAAATTTTATTTTGCACCAACAGCATTGATAAGGATAAATTCACAGAATATGTTCCCTGACCAAATATTGCTTTCAATTCATGTAAGAACAAATTCAGGGGCTGGTTTTAAGTCTCTGAACTCCCACATGACCAACAATGGTTGGAGTTCTGGACTAGGTGGCTTGTTTTCTCACTCTCCCTCTTTCTCTTTCTCTGTTTCTCTCTGGTCAAGTTGAATAATAATAATAAATAAAATGAAATAAGTAAGTCTTTTAAAAAATGAACAAATTCATTGAAACATAAAATGGAAATTCAGGTAGTGAACACTGCAGGGCCCCAAATATATTACCAATGTGGTAAAATGTAAATTAAGCCAAAATTAAATTTAAAACATTTGATGTATACTTCAGAAGCTACTGACCAGTTTTTTGGTTTTGCTTTTGTTTTAGTTTTTCAGAATGCTAATCTGATTAATATTGGTTCAATATATTGCAGGAACCATGAATTTTATAATTGTGTTGAAAGAATCTTCATTGATCATTATTGTCACTCAGCATTTATAGAGAAATCAAAGGTTGCTTGAAACATGCCCTGAATTTAATATTTAAATAGTCCTTGACCTTACATAAAAACTGGAAAAAATAAAAAGAAGTGTTATCCCCTTTCTAACTGTGTAATTTATTGGCTTTTGTAAGAGTAGTAGAATTCCTATCTAATTCCAGCTTGTTCTTCACCAAGGGGTACTTATATGACAAATTTAAAGGAACACAGACATTTGAACTCAAGACTAAATTCTGAATTTCAGCTTTGGAATTTGTTACTTAAATGATTTGTGCAACTTAACACTTTTGAGTCTTGAAAGTATTGTACTACTGTTTGATGTGCCCCCCCCCCCACCTGTTTTCATCAGCCAAAGGAAATTTTGGTCATAATTATTTCAAGTTAAGAACACCTTAGGTTTATTGTGGCCAAGAATTTAAATGCTAATAAATTTCAGACAATGAATTAAAAATAAGGAGATAAAAAATTTAAAGCAATGAAATGAAAGTGCAAATTATTCAATACCCACTTTACAAAGTTTTGCTGAAAACCTGCTTCTTGTCAACCTAAGCCAGGCTCAGAAGAACTCTAGGTGGCTTCATCCTGCCCTCATGCATGTTAAAATTCCATCTAGTGAGTTTACTAAAGTTTTCCCAAAGTAATATTCCACTGTGGTAACTTATATAGTTATGTGTTTGTGAATTCATCGAATCTATTTTGGTGTCAGAAACTGAAAGAGAAGCCATCTTTGAGTTACACGTGATAACTTCTCACGCTTTTTCTTTAGTTGGCAGTCACTTCCAGCAATGAATATATTTTATTCACGGTGCTTAGAAAAGTGTTAAATCATAAGACCTAAAGGAGTCCATGGCTCTACAGAAGTGAAAAACCACTAGCAATGTCTTCACTTTTTTACGAATGTATAGAGTACTAATTGACTCTTTTTTGCTATAAATGTAATGTGATTGCTTCTTGTTGCCTGGTTGAACAGACACCATTTCTTCATCTCAGTAAAAATAAATAAATAAATGTAAAAGGCAATGGAATGTTGAATACATAGCACTATGGGCATTCTAAAAATCTGTTGAATTAAAAATAAGTATAGATGATGGACAGAGAAAAAGCAAGATTTGCATAGACTATAGTTATATAAATTTTTAAAGTCCTATAGGAATGTGCTGTTGAGTAGATAAAGAAAACATAGCTTCTTTTGAGACTATTTGAACATTAGAAAAAGCACAGAACATTTAAAAACTGAAGTAAAATGTCATACATTAAAAGTTATACTTAACTTTGGAGTATAAGCTTCATTTTAGAATCTATCAAATGCTAGTAAACTGAGTTTCTATTTTACTTGAAATGCATGCCAAACTAAGACAGATAAGCATTGTACAGTTTTTAAGATATATGTATCTAGTTCCAATTTTAAAAATTTTAATTCATATCCCCCAGAAGAGTTTAAAGTCGTTACCTTGAATTGTCCAAGTCTTGCAACAAAGCAGTACACAATATATAAAAGAAAAACAGAGAAAAGAAGTAATATAGGCTAGGAAATGTAGGAGAACTTTATAAAATATAAGCTCTGTTAAAAAAAATATAACACTGGCTTAACTCTTCAGAGCTAGGAGAGATCTTGTCAGAATATTCTTTTGTCAAGGTTTGCTATTTATTCAAATTCGCCAGGGTAAGTTTTGTATTTATTTGTAAAGATTGAGGGCAATTGGTTTAACTTCTGTTTGCTAGGCTCACCTGCCTCTGCTCACTCAATTGGGGTTTTAAGAGACTTGTGGTGAAGCACAAGCTTAATAGAGAAGATAGTGATCCCTGGAGACTTGAGATGAGGAAAGGGACTCCCGCTATTCTAGTAATAGTGTTCCTGTTGTTTACAACTAGATGGTGCTTTCAAGGCATACTTAAGTAATATTCTGAATAACTCAAAGCCATTTTTATAACAAAGCAAAATATTCCAACCAATTAAATTGAGTAGGGAAGAAAATTAACCTGGATTATATAATCCCTTCTTTAAATTCTGTTTGCCATCTACCCATTGATTGTTGTGTGAGAATTTTAACCAGGTTTTTAAACGTGATTTTTTTTTTTTTGAAAAACTGCTTCAGTTGTTCTATTGCGTTTTATTTTAGCCATAATGCGAGTTCACGAGGACTTCTTCCATTATAAGACAGGGATCTATAGACACATACCCAGCACAAATAAAGAATCAGAGAAATATCGAAAGCTTCAGTCACATGCCATCAAACTCACTGGGTAAGGCATTTTCCTTAAAGTCATTGTTTAGTACTTTTGGAAAATAAAACTGAAAATAATAATATGTAATGCATTTTGGTACCAGAATTCTATTTTGTATAAAATATTCTGATAGAACCTAAAAATCATCCAAACCTTGCCACTATTTAGTCATTATTTTAAAGTCTAGCCCAAGGCTAACTTAATACTCGGGAAAGTCAACTTAATTCCTGGTAAGATTATTTTATATTTATGTGATAATTGTGGAAATTAAATGGATCTAACTTTGTAAGTAAAATACATTCATTTATTCAAGGGCAAGAAATAAGTTTAAAATTTTGTGTTTGCATTTGAATTGTAAGTAATTTCACAAATAGTCCTTGCTCTGAAAGAGAGTTGGGGTTATGAGATCAATTCCGCCATTCCCCACCCTCTCAGTCTTGCTCTGATTGTACCAATTTGGAAGCCCTTTCTCGTGTCTCACTCCAATTTAAATGAAATGCAACCAAAAAAAGCTTCTTTTTCTTTTTTAGTTAAAACTCTCACTCTTCTCATCTTGCTTATTGTGATAAATAACTTAATTCCTACTGACCATATCTTTCCTGACTTAATTAAATTAAACTTGCATAAAGCAACTTCACCTACAACTAAATTGTTACTTTTTCCTTACTCTTTGAAACCTCTTCAAGTAAATTGTAAGGTATGTAGATAAATTATTCTGTGTGTGATGTCTCTTTGATCATAATCATGCATTTATTTAACTACTCTAATATTTTAATTATAAAATTACCACCTTTCTTTGAATCTAAGAGAACACTATTGCCTTCAGAGACATAAAAATATGTGCATCTTAGAATTGAAAATATGTTATTTAATTTTATAAGATACTGATAAACTACAGATAGAAAAAACTGTAGTTAGGAAAATTGTGGGACCAGCAGTTAGCGTAATGGCTATGTCGCTGGACTCCCACGTAGTCAACCGCAGTTCCAGTCCTGGACCCAGTGGCTTAAACTCATACCAGGTGCGTGTGTGTGTGTGTGCCCAAGATCCCGAGAGGAGAGTGGAGGAGAAGGGATTGTAGCATGGCCATCTTCCCAGGAGGTGATTTCTCACTTTCTGCCTCTCTGTCTCTGTCTGCCTGGTGAGCGCATGTGCCCTATAGCAAAAACCTCTCCAAAAAAAAAAAAAAAAAGATAGGAAAATTGTAACTTATATAACATATAATGCATATGTAGTGTAGTATATATGCTATATATGTTTTTATATATTATACATATTTTTATATACATGTGTGTATGTATATATGTGTGTGCATATATATATATATAATGTCACCATCTGTTGAAATATTGGACATTTTGGAGTATTTTTATGTATCTCAAAGATACATAGATAAAGAAAAAAAGAGAGAAAGAAAGAAGAAAAGAGTGACTTCACAAGAAACTAAGATACTGCAGTACTTAAAATTTTAAGAAAAGGAAAATTTGGTTAACATTTTTAAATATACATTCAATTGCTGTGCATTATTATGGCTTGCAAAGTGAATTTTTCCAGCATGGATACACCGCATATTAGTCCATTTAAAGATATTCTCATACACATTGTCATCAACAGGTAATTTTTATTTTTGTGTCCCTTAAATATTTTGTTTCTTTCTTTTTCTCTTTGATTCCCTTCTTCACCTTCTCCCGTTTCTCACCCTAGTCCCACCCTGTCTCTAGTATCTGCAATTATTCTTCAAGCTTTTTTATATCTAAGGAGCTTTCAGCTTCTGCCATAAAGTACGGACATTTGGTATATATTAAGTGAGGACATGAAAAGGCCTCTCATAGTGGGGCTTACTTCTCTTAGCAAAAAATGTTCCTTAGTCATCCACTTTCTATAAAATGCCATGTTCTTGGTTTTTTTTTTATAACTATTATTTCATTGTATATATATGCCACATTTTTTTCAATCCATTCATCTGTTTGTAAACATTTAGGTTGGTTCCATGTCTTAAGCAATTGTAATAATGCCACAATAAACACGGATGTACAAGTACTTTTCTAACTGAGTGTATTACTATCCTTTGGGTAGATACCTAGGAGTGGAATTAATGGATCATATGGTAGTTCTATTTGCGGGTCTTTGAGGAACCTCCATATTGTTCCACAGTGGCTGTACTAATTTATATTCCCACCAACACTGTAGGAGAGTTCTCTTTTCACCAAAACCTCATCAGCACTTATCATTCTTAATTTTTTAAATCTTAGCCATTCTGACTGGGGTTAGGTGGTATCTCATTGTGGTTTTGATTTGCATTTCCTTATGAGAAGGGGTGTTGAGCCTTTTTTTCTCATATGTTTTTAACTTTTCATTTCACTTCCTTATCGAGTTGTCTGTTCAGCTCATTTGCCCATCTTTTAATTGGATTTTCTTTTCTTTTCTTTCTTTTTTTTTATTTTTATTTTTTTTTAAGGTAAGCCACTTGAGTTCCCTATATATTCTGGTTATCAGTCCTTTTTCTGAGGCAGAGTTTGCAAATGTTTTCTTCCATTCAGAGATTATTGTTTCTTTTGCTAAACAGAAGGTTTTTAACCTGATGTAATCCCACAGGGTCTTATTTAACAAGTCTTTACCTATTGGATGTTTCCAAGAGTTTTACCTGTGTTATCCACTAGTAGTTTTTATAGTTTGAAGACCTAAGTTTAGATGTTTGATTCATTTTGAGATAAAACATGGTGAGAGGAAGATATCCAGGTTCGTCTTTCTGTAGGTAGATACCCAGTTTTTCCAGCACCATTTGCTAAAAAGCTTTACTTTTCCCCACTGGATTGACTGGTACCCTTTGTCAAAAATCAGTTGGCTGTATGTTTTAGAGTTTATTTCTGGGGTCTCTATTCTGTTCCATCAGTAAACATGCCTATTTTTGTATCAGTGTAATGCTGTTTTGATTATCACAACTTTGTATTTTATTTTGGGGGTGAGGGAATGTGATGTCTCCTACTCCACTCCTTTTGTGCAGTATTGCTTTAGCAGTATGGGGTCTTTTATGATTCCAAAAAAAATTCTGTAATTTATTTTTTTAAATCTGTGAAGAATATCTCTAGTAATTTGTTCTTGCATTAAATTTATAGATTAATTTCGGTAAGGTTGATATTTATATTATATTCTTTCAATACAGGAACATGGAGTGTATTTCTACTTTTTTGTGTTCTTTTCCATTTCTTTTATTTGTTTTTCATAGTGTTTTTTTTGGAAAGATTTTTGCTATAAGGCGCATACGTTTGCCAGAAAGACAGAGAGAAACAGAGAGATAGAAAGCAAGATATTACCCCCCAGGGGGAATGGCCACACCACAATCACTTCTCCTCCATTCTTCTCTCAAGATCTTGGGCACACATGCACGCACTCGCACCCAGCGTGAATTTAAGCCACCAGGTCCAGGACTCGAACCATGGTCGATTACGTGGGAGTTCAGCAACATAGGCATTACGCTAACTGCTGGTCCCAGTTTTTCATAGTTTTTCATGTAGAGGTCTTTGACTTCTTTGGTTGGGTTTATTCCTAGATATCTTATTTCTTTTGTAGCTATTGTAAATGAATTTTTTCTTCAATTCTATCTCAATCTGTTCATTGTTGGTGTATAGAAATGCTATAGATTTTTGTATGTTGATTTTGTATTTTGCTATTTTATTGTATTCATCTATCCCTCCTAGGAGTTTTGTGTATGTGTGTGTGTCTCTGTATTCTTTTTGGGTTTTCTATTTTCATAATCCTGTCATTGGCAAATAAAGATAATTTCACTTCTTTTCCTATTTGAATGCCTTTTATTTTAGTCTCTTGTCTGATTGTATTGGATAGGACTTCCAGCACTATATTAAAAAAGAGTGGAGAAAGTGAGCAGCCTTGGTTTGTTCCAGTTGTTAGTAGACTTCCAGCACTGTATTAAAAAGGAGTGGAGGGGACCATCAGTTAGCATAATGGCTATGTTGCTGGACTCCCATGTAGTCAGAGTCTTGGACCTGGCGGCTTAAACTCAAGCTGGGCACGTGTGTGTGCATGCCTAAGATCCCGAGAGGAGAATGGAGAAGGGATCATGGCATGGTCATCCCCCCTGGGGGGTGATTTCTTTCTTTCTGTCTCTCTGTCTCTCTTTCTGGTGAGTGCACACGCCCTATAGCAGAAACCTCTCGGGGTGGGGGGAAAGGAGTGGAGAAAGTGGACAGACTTGATTTGTTTCAGTTGTTAGTAGAAAAGTTTTCCACTTTTACCCATTCAATATGATGTTAGGTATGGGTTTTTCATAAATGGCTTTTATTGTGTTGAAAAGTGTCACTTATATGTTGATTTTGTTGAGAGTCTTAATCATGAAGGTATGTTGTATTTTATCAAATGCTTTTTTTGCATTGATTGATAGGATCATATGGGTTTTATCTTTCTTTCTTTAATGTGGTGTATTACATTTATGACTGTGTGTATGTTGAACCATCCTTGCATCCCTGGAATAAAGCCTACCTGGTCATGGTGTATAATCTTTTTATTGATTCATTGGTTTTGATCTGCTAGTATCTTGTTGAAAATTTTTGCATTTGTATTCATCAGAAATATTGGTCCATAGTTTTCTCCTTTTGTGATGTCCTTGTCTGTTTGGGGGATGAGAGTGATGAAGGTTTCATAAAATGAATTTAGGAGAGTTACTTTTTTCTGGACCTTTAGAAAAAGTGTGAGTATAATAGGGGTTAGCTCTTCTTTAAAAGTTTTGTAGAATTCAGAAGTAAAATCATCAGGACCTGGGATTTTCTTTGTTGAGAGATTATTTATCACTGATTCTAGTACAGTTCTTATTATTGATCTATTTAGGTTTGCTTTTCTTTCTGATTCAGTCTTGGTGGATTATATGTGTCCAGAAATTTGTCCACCTCATCTAGTTTTTCTTATTTGTTGGTGTATAGTCGATAATAGTATTCTCAAATTATCTTTGATATTTCTATTATATCTGTTATAATATTGCCTGTTTCATTGTAAATTTGATTTAT